ACTCGCTCGCAATCTCGCTCGTGCCTAAATTAAATTTGTAACTAAAATGGCGTTTATCAAACAAAATATAACATAAATGTTTAATTTAATTTAATGTGATGACATTTAAGTATTCGAAAATATATTTTTTACGGTAACATCTAAAATTCAAAGGTTAATATCCCGTTTACCGTACCGCACACATTTAATCTCCAAAACGTGGTTTATCGAAAAATGACGCTTATTTAACATAAATTAAAATTTTTGTAAGCCGAAATTAATTCCTAATGCCTTATTTAATATTCACGCAATTAATTGAAATTTATAGGCTGCTCGTAGATTGTACGAAATTATCATTTACCAATCAATTAAAAGTTTAAATTTTTTTAAACTAGTTGTGAATGTATAAAGTTTAACGTATTCAAACTAAATAATTTAAATTATGCTATAATTCCAGAATAATGTTATGTAAATATATTATTTAAAGACATATTTTAGTCATGGAGACACAATATGGTTTATCGGAGAAAAAAATCAATTTTTAAAAAGTTTTTATTTTTAGTAATTTTATGAAAAAAATTTATTAAAAACATGTTAAACCAAAAGGTTTTGCTAAAAAAAATTAATTAGATTGGGAATGTTTTTAAATCGTATTTTAAACAATAAATTTAGCTAAAAATTACGCGTATTTAGGTGTATTTAATACTCCATATTTTTTAAACGACATATACATTATATATATTTTTAAATATGTTTAGAGTTACTCTTTACCTTTTAAAGAATAATCATTTTATTAGTTAATTAAATCTTAATCTAAATCAAAAGTCATTTTTTAAGATAAGGGTGATCTCTACGCCTTATTGTTCATTAAGCTTTCCTTTATTAGGACACTAAGTACTTAAGAAAAGCGTATTCCTCACTCAACGCCTAAAAATTTACGTGCCCATAGGATCTATAGATATATTCTAGTTTTAAATATATCATTTTTAAAATTACATTTTGTATTTTGTTTATAACAATGTAAAAAGCCAATATGTTTTACATTTGAAATATCATTTCGGCTTCTTTTAAATTTCTAACATTTAGAGTCTTTTTTATGAAAATTTAAAAATATACCTATAAATTTAAATTTAAAACAGATTATTCACAACATTTAATTTTATTTGACCCCCTGATAACATTAGTTGGATTAAAAACAAATTAAGTAAAACACGAATTTGACGAAGAAGTTAAAACGGTACTTTTTGACCAATGTGCAACATCTCCAATAGATGTCTGAAATATGTCTTTTTAAGACGTTTTTATGTCATAGCGAAAGGATGTCTTGTAAAATACTTCATTTAGACATATTAATATATTATTATTATTATTATACCATTGTATATTATGAATTAAGTTTGATAAACGCCATTTTATTTAGCGAATTTTAATTAGGCACGAGCGAGCTGGCGAGCGATTGTTAATTAAATGAGTGTCTAGAAATACTTGTTCTACGACAAATACTTAATATTACCTAAAAATGATTTAAATTAAATATTTGTATAGAGCGACTATAAAACAATAGAGTAACCATTATTGGGAATCTGTATTACCGGCGCGACGGTGAAAATGTCAAATTTGTATGTGAAAATCGAAATGTATTACTTGAAAATGGACTAACAAGAGTTTTTCACAGTTAGAGTAAAGAAAATGGTTTATGGTAAAGTCACATAAACTTTTCCAATATTGGCGTTGAGAAACTATTTAATACTTTTGTATTTTGTATTGAGATAATAAAATTATTTTTACATTTAGTATTATATTACAAGAAACATTATATTTATGAAAAATAAAAAAAAATCAATTTATGGTAAAAATAAAAATAATTTAAATTAACTTTTTGACCATCACAAAAATTACTAAGCCAAGTCCATATAAAAACAAATTAATAAACAATTTAAACTCAATAACAAAAATCATCATGATTCTTGACATCTCACTTTAATTACAGCTACTTAGCTTGCTCGGTGAACGAATGAAAAAAAATTCAAGAAGACAAATCAATCTGTATGATCGATGTTCCAGATGAAATTGTAATACGCATTTCGCCTTGAACTTGTCAGTTGCTACCAAAGTAATTTATTTTGCTTTTGTTTTACGAGCTTATCAAGGCGTAGGTAGTAAAACACAACCAATATATAATTGCGTTGTGTATAGTTGTATCGGACTGATATTATGGCTTCTTGAAAATTAAAAAAAATTGTGAAATATGTATCTACATGTAGAGTAGGGTAAGGGTGGGTGTCCTAAGTGTACGCAGTAGGTAGGTTGCCAGGTTCTGAAGTTTTTATTTTAATGTCATTTTTGTAAAACCTATTAATAGTTAGAGTTTACATTTTATTAAATAATTTTAAAACAAATACACGTGTTCTAATTTTTGGCCAATTTAATTTTATTAGTTTTTTATTGTACAAATTACTGCATGTGTACTCTTGGACAATATACCTTATGGTTATTGAACTACATTGACTTATTAGAGAATGGTTAAATGTACTGTTTGATTTATCGTTATTTTTGATAATTATAGAGCTTTATAAATAATTTCGGTAGTTTATTAATACCTTAAAACATAATTAACGGAATTTAATTAGATTTCGTATTGAAGCGTTTTAATGGGTACACTCGTACAAAATAAAAAGGTGGTACTTTTGGATAATGAACGTTAATTCTGAATAAATTTCGATGTTATCGCAATTTTTTTTGGACAGCTGCGGATTAGCATTTTATTTTTGAATATTACTGTCACTAACTTTCATTAATAAACTAATAATAAATTTCTAAAAACATTTTGTTTGTAATGATGTTTGGGGTTTAAATTAAAGGACTCTTAAAGATATTGTAATTAGGCACGAGCGGAGCTTACGAGCGAGTTTTTAATAAAATGAGGGTCTTAAAAAGTTTAAAAACAAGTTGCATACTATATTTTTCTGTGACAAATATAATAAAATAGTAATTTATGTCATAAGACTTAAAAGTAAGTCTTTTTGTACAAATTTCTAAGTTTTTACATTTAATAATTGACTTTCTTTGCCAATAGAGTTTTTTTGATTAATTTTGTCATTTACTCAAATCAAAATAACGTGTTAATTTCTTTTTAATCAAATATTTAAAAAAAATATTTTTGGATTTTATAAATGGATTTTATAAAAATTATGAATTATTTAAAAATAGAATATCATAGACGTATAAAATAGAAGAAAATGGATTTTGAAAAGTCTAAAGATAACTAATGAAATATTGTAATTATTATAAAATTAGGTTTTTTAATACTAAACGTTCAAAAGTCAAAACTACCTTTTTAAGTCAAGAACAATAACAATTTTTTTAAAAATCCTAAATTTAAGTGTAGGTAGGTACCTAACTTTGTTAAGGTAGGAAAATCTCAAAAAAAGACTAATGTTATCAGAATTGTTTGTAGCAAAAAAAATTGCATGATTTTGATTTTTGGTACATACAATGTGACCCCGAAAGGACTTAACTATACTTGTAAACTTTCTTATTTAGCATTTTAGTAGAAAAAGCCAATTTAAAAATAACATACAGGGTGGTTAGAAAACAAGAAAATGTATAATCATGTCAAGAATAAAGTACCTGTTTTATAAAAAATGTAAAATCTCTGGAAAAAAAATGTCAAGAGAAATTTAGATTTTAAATTCGAACCGTAAAATAATAATTATGAATAATGACTTTGTATTATTATTTACTTTATCACTCCTATTGAAACATATTGGGGTTCTCCGTGAATAATGATAAACATTATAAATTCCCTGCCTAACAACGAGAATAATGAACTCATTATCCACGTTGTTAGGCATTAGTGATTGGCCGATTTAAACCAATCGGGTTTTAAATTGGAAGAAGGCGAGTATAATTACATTTAAAATTGGTAAAAAGGGAGGTTAACCATTTGACAGATGTCAGATTTATTTATTTATTTTTGAAAATTATTTAATTATCTAGGAACTTTGAAGTAAATAAAGTATATTATTATAATAAGTCAAATCATCCAAATGAATAATGCGCATAATCTCGAGTGTATACACTCGAGATTATGCGCATTATTCATTTGGATGATTTGAGTCTCTCGTCTGGCAACTCGAGACGAAAACCTTATCCTCGTATATAATAGCCTGCATTGTCAAAAGCAATAACTTTAAATAACATTGTTAACATTAGAAAATCTATTGACATTACAAACATTTCTCAAAAAAACAGGTACTTTTCTTGACTCAATTATACGTTTTCTTTTTTTTAACCACCCTGTATGGTTTTTGGACATTTTTAAGATGGCCATGGAATTTACAGAATAAGCAAAACTTTTTATGAAGAATCACTTTTTCTAGTAAAATGCAAAATTAGAGAATTCAAAAGTACAGTTAGGTCCATCCGGAGACAAACTGTAAATTTAGTTAGAGAATATGTTGTGCACTGGTTTATTTTTATCGTGACTGTACAGCACAACAATATGACAAAACTAAAATGGGGCATTATTATTTTCTTCTACTTTACGACGATTTCTTCATATTTTATATTATCGTGCAAAAGTGGTGCCACTTAAACATTAATAAAAAAAGGGTGCGAAAATATACCCAGTCATAATGCAGTCACGCATAAAACATGAACATTTCACTCAAAACAACAAAACAAAAAAAATGTGCTGCCTTTTTTACAAATTTTATTTTTGTCTTGTTGCTGTTGAAGCATATCCATGGCAATACAAAACGAAACACAGTAGAGTACATTCATTTTACCAAATCACCACTACGCGCGAAGAGCCCGTAAACAACATGTTTATTTATACAGGCGAGTTGGTAAAATTAATTTACTGTAGTACATAACAAGTGGTGGGTAGCTGCAGCTATTTGACGGTGATAAAGTTTGCCCTTATCGGTTACTATTTTAGGAGAACGAGAGAGAGAAAAATATACACACAGTTACACACACCTTGATCGGACAACGTTGCGGACGCATGGCCTGCTTACCTTTGACGAAACGAGCGTCAAAGTTGGCGAGGATTCCTGCAACAGAACACATACATATTAGTTTGGTTTTGTAGACAAACCTTAGATTAAGAATACAAAATAAGGTATAAATAGTGAACAAATATGATAATTATACCTTCGTCTAGCATATAATTACTGTATACGTTTAGACTTTATGATTAGGAGCAACTTTTTTCTTGCAGAGCCTTTTGGCAATTTTGTCACGCTCTGTTTGCTTTGTTTTATATTACAGGCACATATGTTATGTGTGTTTCTGTTATAAAAAGAGGCAAAAAAGTAGGATCCAATTGGTAGCTCATAAAGTTAAACTTAACTATTGTTGAAGGATTTTTTTATATGCATTCAAAATGTTTTTAAAAAATCCTTTACAGGTTGTGTCGAGGTCTAAAATTTAATAATACATGGTGGCCCAACGAAATTGAAACACTTTTCAGGTATTAAGTACCCAAGCAACACAGAATGGTATATTAAACGTTTAAAACGATCTACTACCATCCGTCACTTCGTTGTATATGTGAAACGTATTATAAACTGCAAAATGTCCGCGACTTCAACGTATATATACAGATTTCTATATTCATTTCATTAACGTATATACATATATGATTTTTTTTATGAAGTGGTAAACGTATATTAGCAGTTTACATTTACAGGTTTTATACGTATACCAAATACGTGTATTAAATGTTATTTTTCCTCATTGATTTATACGTATAATGAAAGGGTTATTTTTCTTTACAGGATGTTTCGTAACCTTTTAGACAAAAAAAGAAGGTAAATTCTCATCTAATTTTATTCGAAAAATACATTAAGTGAGAATTCACCTCCTTCTTTTTGTCAGAGAGGTTAGGAAACACCCTGTATAAACAATAAAATGTATTAGTCCTTAAGTGACCTAAAATAATTAAAAAGTAAAAAGCACGGTACTGAAATAATAACTCGTATAAAAAAAACAAAACATATATTCTTTAAATAAACAAATTTGTTGCACAAATGTGACAACTTGTCACTGACAAAGAAACAAAGTTATAACTTATAATAAAAATAACGTATCTACGGGTTTTACATCTCTGTTATACAGATGCCGGTGTTTGCTTAATTTCAGCCAGTCTTTTATCGCTTGGGATATTACAAAATCGTTCAACAAATCAAGAGGTTCTCTTGCTGAATATGAAAGTTTTACAGCTTCTAAAAAATGAAAAAAGAATATATTTAATAGGCAAATAATTAGTAGGTATATATGTATGTAGTACTTGCTATAATAACTTTTTTATACAAAAGAAAGTATACTTTATACATATTATATAGTATATATCGAATATTTTTATATAATAAAAATTTAAAATTAATAAGACAATTAATTATTTAAAAGTTTATTACAAAGAAGTTTAAAAAAGTAAACTTTTTAAAATATTTTTGTAAATTTACCTTAACAAGGAGATGAACAAAATTATGTCTAGACTTAATAAAATTTTCAATTTCGATATGACATATTACGAACAAATATTAGTTTACATTGTAAACTAATATTTGTTTGTAATTTAATTTTAAAATGGGGTAAATATTTAAAACATAAATTATATTAACATTCTAAATTTTAGAACAATAAAATTTATACGGTAAAAAAATAATAATTAATTATAATTTTTTTTTACTATATATATCATATTTTTATTGTTTTAAAATTTAAATATAATTTTTTTTAATATTCTAAAACTTAATATTTTTTATTTTAAAAATAAATAAATAAAAAAGATAAAAGTTTTATGGTCTGGCACTTTCAAAACATTATCTTAATTTAAAAAAAAAATAAAAAAACAGTTTTTCTATTTTCCGGCACCCAAATTTTTTGGAAATTTTGAATCTCTAGTATAGAAAACTAAAATTTCCTGCATCAGGTCACACAGGCATTATGTAAACGGTATACAGTATACAGTATATATACGTATACGAAACCTTTACTTGACACTAAAAAATCTTTTAATTTATTTGACTTGACAAATTTTAACATATAAAGATAAAAATACCTACATAAATGCATTCATGTGAAGTTAAACAAAAGATAAATTAAAAACTTACCCTCAACTCCTTTTCCAAAAGATAAAAAGAACTAACCCTCAAAATTGTTATCCACGTGTAGTAAGATACTTGCCTTCTTTTTTCTTCTGTAATCGAATAAAACCATGTATAAAAACAACAATTAAATACAGCAAATCTTTTTTAAATTATTTAGGCACACTTACCTAGGTAATTATAATTACTTAGCAATGCCTGGAGCCCGGCGTTTTCACTTCACAACAGGCTTTTCTTACAAGATGACGCCACGGGCGGAACCTGTAGCTGTTTGGGTTAAGACGCGACGTCATTGGGTAAATTTAATCATGTGACAAAATTTTGCAGTGTTCAATATAGGTTTTGTACACGTATACTATATACTGTTTTTATACCAGATTGTGTAGTGTGGAAAATAGGTATACTGTATACCATTTAAGTACAAAATTTAAACGCGTGTTATATACGTTTTTAAAATTTAGTTTTTTTTAATAATTTCTTAATTACAGCTCAAATTTATGCGATATTCACAAAAAAAGTTTTGTAAGGGCCTATCATACTTTTCGAGTCAGAACCATTAAAAAATTAGGCTTTTATTTGACTTCGTGTCAAAAATGGATTATTATATACATATAATATATGTTTCCAATATACGTTAAAAAAAGTAATATATTTTTTGCTATAATATACGTATATGTTACGATAAATTCATCAGTTAACTGAAGATAAAGTCCTATAATATCCGTATATTATACGTTTCGTATAAAAAAGTAATATGAAAAACGTATATTATTTATACCTTTAAAATGTTATACGCTTTTTATACGAACAATACGTTTAATAAACGTATATACTACAGAGCCGTGTTGCTTGGGTAGTAATTAAAAAAAGGCAAAAAAACATCAATTAAGTTTTGAGGAATACATCATTTTAATAAATGTTAAAGGGTGGTTTAACGAAACTGAAATAAAGGAGTTAATAAAGTTAAAACGAGGGGGAAATCTTTTTAATAGAATTTACCTGCACATCGCTTCACCCCTTTGCGCAGTATTCACAACTCTAAAATTTTCATAGGCATAATCGGAGAAATTTGAGAAAAAATCGTGTAAAAAAACTGTCGTATCATAAAAAAGCCTTCAAGTTCGTTCAGTTTCATTCAACATTGGTTTAAAGAATTGCGAAAAGATTTGAAATTATCACCCTTTTTAAATAGTGAGTGCGGAAAACGTGCAGCTGATTTATTTAATCCGGATAAGCAGGAAAATTCGTTTTGGATTTGGTGGCAAAGTTCCAAAAAAACATCAGTAGCAAACCAAAAACGGATCTTTAGAGATAGAGATAGAGATAGAGAGATAGAGATTTATTTAGCCTTCAAAATTTACAAAGCGTGTCAACAATGCAGAATGTAAAATATTACAACATACAATATATAATAAATGTATAAAAAAGAACATCAAAATATATAGCCATTTTAAAAAACATATAAATAATAAATAAATAAAATTAAATAAAATTACAGCACATTAAAGATTTAAAAATTCATCTGTTGAATAGAGAACATTTTGTATTAAAATTTTTTTACAGTCTTTTTAAAAAGTTTTGTATCCATCTTTCTGATATCTTCTGGAAGCTTATTTAAAAGTTTCTCCTGACAGGAGAAACGTATTTGAAATTACTAGATGATGTAATTCATTCCTTACCGGTCGATATAGTTAAAAAAGATGACAGATACTTGAAAGACCATTTAATGTTTCAACAAGATGGAGCACCTCAACTCTTTGCACTGCGTGTTGGAGAGTTTTTGGACCGAGTTTTTTCTTAATAATCGATTGGACGAAAAGAAGCTTTGGATCTCCAGATTTGACTCCCCTGAACTTTTTTATGTTTTGGTGGGTCCAATGGAGAACGCCAAATACACGGAAAAAAATCTATACTGATTCCAAGAAAATTCAACTCTAACCAAGTATAGCTTAGTTTCCCTATTCCGCAAGTAAATTTATACTTGTTTCAAGTATCCTCATATTCTTATAAAATAAAGATAGCTTCGGTTTAATCTAAGATTACTGCTATACTAAAAATAAGAAACACACTAATTTTGAGTTAAGTATACAAATTTGTCTTCAATGAAGAGTACGGTATTCTTGTTGTAACGTTAGTATGTACTTCAGATATTCTTGATTTAAGAATATACTTTCTTTAAAATTTATTTATTTATACTTATTGTAAGTACACGCTTTACTTGCATAAAATGCTTGTATTCTTACTTTTCCTTTTTTTATATTTGATAAAAGTATAGTATATATTTAAAATAACTTTACACTATTCTTAAAGAAAGTGGTTGATTAGAAAAAAAAATTCCCTCGTCTAGCGACTCGGAATAATTTTTACAAAAAAAACATTCGTGACCCTGAAAAATATTTGTATTAATTATTCTACTACTACGGAAAATACAAGTGAAAGTGAAAATATAATCGTTATGACAGTAATTTAACAGTATTTTTGGCATATTATTTTAATTATTTTAATGTACTAAAGTACTAAGTATAATAGGCACTGATATCACAATAGGTTTATTACCTAACAGTCTTAGAGGTATTAGAAAAAGTACTGTCAATTTATATAAATTCATTCTTTCACGGTTAATTAACATAGATACTATATTTTACATTTTATTTTTTTAAGTACCTAGGTATCACATTTTTTGTGCTATATGTAAAGGTAAGGTTTTTTAATCACAATAGTTAATATTTTTTTAAGTAGGTATTTTTATTGTCAGTAAAATTTATCTCCAGCTAAATAATATGTAAAATGAGTCTCTAAGAAGGCTACCATTATCATCGTAGATGGTTTGGTGTTAATTCTTCAATTTTTTCTCTACACTTGATCCTCAATCCTATTTTTGGAATTAATTCCTTTAAATTCTCCTCGCTTAGGTTTACCATAATATCGATATCTATCTCGTT